TGTAATCCCAGGTACTCGGGAGGCTGAGATGAGGCAGGAGAATTGCTAGAACCTGGGAGGTAGAAGCTGCAGTGAGCTGAGATTGCCCCATTGCACTCCAGCCTGGGAAACAGAGCAAGACTCTGGCAAAAAAAAAAAAAAAAGAAAAAAGAAAGAAATAGAATATTCATTTGATTCTCTGAACCAGAAAGTTTAGGATGAGGGTTGACATTTCACATTTAGCATGTTGCTTAACATGAGCCGACCCTGACTTTCAGGAGGTGAAGTGAAAATGGCAGAATCTGTCTGAAGATGCACAATCTAGAAATGGAAGCACTGTTCTTTCGAGGAACCCCATCTCAGTGGCCTCACTGGAAAGTCCAGATTGCCTGACACCGGTAACCAACTACGTAATAGGGATCAGGCCCCAACAGATGTCTGGGTTTAAGGGAGTTAAGTTTATGCTGAAGATGGAAAGGGAGAAGAGGACATAAAAACAAATGTGTTTTTCCATACCACAAGGCTCTTGCGCCAAGGTGTCTGTGTTTGTCAAAGTCAGGGAATCCCTCCTCCTGGGAGCCAAGAGGAAGCCTCTCAAAAGTAGAAGGGAAGACCAGCCTGGCCAACATGGCGAAACCCCTTTTCTACTAAAAATACAAAAATTAACTGCACATGGTGGTGCATGCCTGTAATCCCAGCTACTGCTTGAATCCCAGAGGTGGAGGTTGCAGTAAGCCAAGAGAGATCATGCCATTGCACTCCAGCCTGGGTGACAAACCAAGACCCCATCACACGTGGGCATACACACACACACACACACACACACTCTCTCTCTCTCTCACACACACACAGAAAACTAAAAGGGAAAGGTGCTTCCCCCATTATCAATCCAGCTTCAACACAGTCTGTTAGTGACAGTGACAGGCATCTCATCCCCAGAAAACAACAATGAAGTACACTGTGTGCTAACAACGTACCTTAAAAAAAAAGAAAACCAAATTCTGCATTTTTATTATTATTATTTTTTTTTGAGACGGAGTTTCACTCTTGTTACCCAGGCTGGAGTGCAATGGCACGATCTCGGCTCACCGCAACCTCTGCCTCCTGGGTTCAGGCAATTCTCCTGCCTCAGCCTCCAGAGTAGCTGGGATTACAGGCACACGCCACCATGCCCAGCTAATTTTTTGCACCTTTAGTAGAGACGGGGTTTCACCATGTTGACCAGGATGGTCTCGATCTCTTGACCTCGTGATCCACTCGCCTCGGCCTCCCAAAGTGCTGGGATTACAGGCTTGAGCCACCGCGCCCGGCCCAAATTCTGCATTTGTATAAAATTTGATAAAAATAGTATTTCAAACTGTAGTGTCACCAACTACATAGTTATCGCAGATGCACACTTCACCTGGTATCTCCAGCACCTTGGCTTCCTGTGCCTGGTCTGTTTAGGCGTCTGCATTCTCTGCAGGGTTATTCCCCTCCTTGCCAGCATCAGTTCTTCCCCTTTTCCCTTTGGGTACCTTCTCTCCCTTCTTTGAAAGGCCTCCTTAGACTTGGCTTTGGAGAAGCAGATTTAACAGACAACCTTGCAGGTCTTCTCTGTGGTTCGTCCTTCACCTTGGTGTTATCTCCTTAGCATCCACTCTCTTTCTCTTGGGCAGGGTGGCAGCTACAGCGGGACATAGGCCCTGAGTAAGAGATGCAACAGTGCCTGGGTTATAATTGGTCTGGGAGTTGTTCTTGCCTCTTCTTCACACTGCTCCTTTATGTAATCCTGAAGAAGGAACCTACCCTGTATGTGCCCTGTATGTGCCTCAGTTTCCCTATCTATAAATGGAAATAATGATCTTTCTTGGGGGTTTAAGGTTAAATAAATTAAGGTATATGGAAGTATTTTTAAAATTTTATGTAGAGAACCAGTGTATCAAGCTTGAAATTATACATAAAAAATTACTGGCCGGGCACAGTGGCTCACGTCTGTAATCCCAGCATTTTGGGAGGCCGAGGAGGGCAGATCACTCGTGGTCAGGAGTTCAAGACCAGCCTAGCCAACACAGCGAAACTTTGTCTCTACTAAAAGTATTTAAAAAATTAGCCAGTCGTGGTGGTGCACACCTGCAATCCCAACTACTCGGGAGGCTGAGGCAGGAGAATCGCTTGAACCTGGGAGGCGGAGGTTGCAGTGAGCTAAGATTGCACCTGGGCAACAGAGCAAAACTCCATCTCAAAAAAAAAAGAAGAAGAAGAAAAATAGCTAGAAGGAAAGGGTAGGAATGAAGGCATATATGGGGTTCTAAGTAAAGGGAGAAATGTTCCATCTAGTTGCTGCTGAATCATTCATATGTCACTGTGCAGTATTCAACTTCTGAAGACAGGGTCTATGCTTGACTTGGCTTGCCAGGTGCTCACACCTTCAGCAGGAGTTGGTAGGCACCTTGATTGAGGTCCGACTACACATAATATAAGAGGTATGGTTTCTGCAGAGCAAGAGCAGGATGCTATTACAGGAAAAAGGAGGAATGGCTGCTGGCCAGTTATAAACAACAATTAGATGTCTAAATCACTGCACAAGCGAGCATCCTCTGTGTGCTTACATTAATTTGAAAACAGATGCAGAAAATACTGTTATGAATCAGTCATGATCCAAACGAAATTCAAACATAGTAAGAAAAAAAAAAACAAAGAGGAAAAAAATTGATATTGACTAATGTAATTAGGAGTTAAAAAGAAAAAAAAGAATGGTTTAGACCTGCCCATTACTAAAGTTTATCATGAGCAAGTATTTAAATATTACCTAAGTAGCCCATTAACAATAGAATGATAGATAAATTTGGGTGTATTTATACAATAGACTTCACAAAATTAGAATGGGCAATCTCAACTACAGACAACAATATGGGTGAATCTTTTAACCATAATATTGAAAAGGAGACAAAGAATACATACCAGAGGATTCCATTTATAGAACGTACAGAAAACAGGCAATCTTTGTTATTAGAAGTCAATGACTAACACCACCAAGGATAGTAAGCAGGGATGTGAAAGCTGCAGTCTGCAGACTGGTACCATGTTTGATAAGTATATTGTAATTTTTTTTTTTTTTTTTTTTTTTTTGAGACAGAGCTTTCGCTCTTGTTACCCAGGCTGGAGTGCAATGGCACGATCTCGGCTCACTGCAACCTCCGCCTCCTGGGTTCAGGCAATTCTCCTGCCTCAGCCTCCTGAGTAGCTTGGATTACAGGCACGTGCCACCATGCCCAGCTACTTTTTTTTTGTATTTTTAGTAGAGACGGGGTTTCACCATGTTGAACAGGATGGTCTCGATCTCTTGACCTTGTGATCCACCCGCCTCGGCCTCCCAAAGTGCTGGGATTACAGGCTTGAGCCACCGCGCCTGGCCGTATATTGTAATTTTTATATGTTAAAATACATGAAGAAAAAAAAAGTCAATGATTACCTTAGAGGGGTTAGAATTGTGTCTGGAGGCTGGGCAAATGGCTCACACCTGTAATCCCAGCACTTTGGGAGGCTGAGATGAGTGGATCACCTGAGGTCAGGAGTTCGAAACCAACCTGACCAACATGGTGAAACCCCATCTCTACTAAAAATACAAAAAATTGACCAGGCATGGTTGATGGGGGCCTGTAATCCCAGCTAATCAGGAGGCTGAGGCAGGAGAATTGCTTGAACCCAGGAGACAGAGGTTGCAATGAGCTGAGATTGCGTCACTGCACTCCAGCCTGGGCAACAAGAGCAAGACGCCATCTCAAAAAGCCAAAATAAAACAAAACAACAACAAAAAAGAATCGTGGCTGGAAAGGAAACAGGAGATGAGAAATTGTCTGGTTTTGAAATTTCATTCAACTGTATGCTTATGATATAAGAACTTTTCAGTATCGTGTACTTAACTGACTTTTGACATGTATTAATACTCCCAAAGAGATATTATGTGCTGAGTAGATATTATGTGCTGAGTAGGTCATGCTGATGTGTATAAATTACCTAAATGCTCGTTTTGTTTCTGTGTTCATGAAGCCTTCAACAACTCCTATAAATAGGTCAGAATTTTCTGGAAATGTTAATTATGTTAAGGTTTCATAATGAGCTCCTTTAAATAAATCAGAATGTATTTCTTGACTTGGAGGACATTCCTAACAGTGGTCATTTTAATTAGCTAATTTTCTATATCTGGGGATGACTTTAAAATTATTTTATGCTGGGTGTGGTCCTTGCACGTATAGTCCCAGCCATTTGGGAGGCTAAGCAGGGAGGATCTCTTGAGCTCAGGAGTTTGAATCCAGCCTAAGAAACATAGCGAGACCCTGGGTCTTGAAAGAAAGAAAAAGAAACAGAGGTGGGGAGAGGGGGAGGTAGAGAAAGAGAGCGAAAAGGAAGGGAGGCAGGGAGGGAGGAAGGAAGGAAGGAAGGAAGGAAAGAAGGAGGGAGGGAGGGAGAGAGGGAGGAAGGGAGGGAAGAAAGGAAGGAAGGAAAGAAGGAGAGAGGGAGTGAAGAGAGAAAGAAGGAGAGAGGAGGGGAGGGAGGAAGGGTGAAGGGGAGGAGAGCAAGAGGGGAGGGGAGGGAGGGAGGAAATGGTTTTATAAGAATTATAATGTGTCTGGTATTTTTACTTCCTTGACTTGCTGCTACTTTCTTATGTAACACACAAAACACCACAGAAGAAAGACATATTTTCTCAAGAAATTTGAGGTAAAATTTGATCTAGACGTTCTTTAAATTATCATTTAAACTTAGTCTATAGGAAAGCTATTTCACCTACTTTGAATTCTTACTTTTCTTGAAATGCGTGAAAGTGCATGTGATGAGAATGTGTGATTCCAAAGAGGTCTTGCTGGGAAGGTAAAGCAGTTGGGGGGTGTAGGGGCAAGTGGACCTGTAATGTGGTAGTATGGCTGGCTCGTGGGGTATAATGTGTCAGTAAATTACAGTTGACACAAATGAACACATGGTGGTGGCTCCTTATAGCTTTCAAGGAAAGTGATGTATTTTTGGTTTGTTTGGGGTAGATTCTGCCGTTCCTGTATTGCTACCAGTCTAAAGAACAACAAGTGGACTTGTCCTTATTGCCGGGCGTATCTTCCTTCAGGAGGAGTTCCAGCAACTGATGTAGCCAAAAGGATGAAATCAGAGTTTAAGAACTGCACTGAGTGTAACACCCTGGTATGTGACCCGTCTGTGTTCATGGTTACCAACTTAAGTCCCCGAGAAAGTTATCATTTCACCTCTGCTTCTGACCCCATGGTACTACCCACCTTTTGTTTTCTGTTTTTTTTTTTTTTTTTTTTTTTTCTTTTAGTTGTTGTTGTTGTTGTTTTTGAGACGGTATCTGGCTCTGCCGTCCAGGCTGGAGTGCAGTGGCGCAATCTCGGCTCACTGCAACCTCAACTTCCCAGGTTCAAGCAATTCTCCTGCCTCAGCCTCCCAAGTAGCTGGGACTACAAGTGTGTGCTACCACGCCCGGCTAGTTTTTTGTATTTTTAGTAGAGACGGGATTTCACTGTGTTAGCCAGGATGATCTAGATCTCCTGACCTCATGATCTGCCCACCTCGGCCTCCCAAAGTGCTGGGATTAAAGGCATGAGTGACTATGCCTGGCCTGGTACCCACCTTTTCTAAAGTGCTTTATTTCAGCCTCCTCACTTTCTTTTCTTTCTTGTCACAGAGTCTTGCTCTGTCACCCAGGCTGGAATGTGGTGGTGCTATCTTGGCTCACTGCAGCCCCCTGCCTCCCAGGTTCAAGTGATTCTCATACCTCAGCCTCCTGAGTAGCTGGGACCACAGGCATGGGCCACAATGCCTGGCTAATTTTTTGTCTTTTTAGTAAAGACAGGGTTTTGCTGTGTTGGGTAGGCTGGTCTCAAACACCTGGCTTCAAGTGATCTGCCCACTTTGGCTTCCAACGTGCTGGGATTATAGGTGTGAGCCATCTCACCCAGCCTCCAGTTTCATACACACACACACACACACACACACACACACACACACACACACATATTCTTTTTAATTTTTTTTTTTCTTTTTTAAGATGAAGTTTCACCATGTTGGTCAGGCTGGTCTTGAACTCCCGACCGTAGGTGATTCACCCACCTTGGCCTCCAAAGTGCTTGGATTACAGATGTGAGCCACCATGCCCGGCCAGCTTTTTTTTTTTTTTTTTTTTTTTTTGAGATGGAGTCTTGCTCTGTCACCAGGCTGGAGTACAGTGGCGCAATCTTGGCTCACTGCAACCTCCGTCTCCTGGGTTCAAGCAATTCTCATGCCTCAGACTCTCTAGTAGCTGGGATTACAGGGGCCTACCACCATGTCTGGCTAATTTTTGTATTTTTTGTAGAGATGGGGTTTCATCATGTTGGCCAGGCTGATCTCGAACTCCTGACCTCAGGCAATCTGCCTGCCTCGGACTCCCAAGGTTCTGGTATTACAGGCGTGAGCCACCATGCCCAGCCCAGGTTTATATCTTTTAAGATATGACTCTAACGTATGCATAGAAAATGGTTTGCTGTAGGGCAAAAATGAAATTGGTGAAACCAGTTAGGTGGCTATTATGATGTCAGGAAGCTGGATTAGGGTGATAGCATTAGATGTGGAATAATGATGCAGGATTATTCTTGCCCACTTTGCTAGCCGGGGACCTCCATAGCCAACAATGACCCCACCCAGGTCTTGCTTAGGCTGGGAGACTCTCCCCACCCACTCTGCCCACTAGACCACGCCTGGTTCATTCACTGGCTCGGCCAACATCCGGTCCAGGCATGCCACAGCCCATCTGTGTTTGGTGGTTCCTAAGTTCTTGTCCCACATCCAAGAAAAATGAGGTTATGCTGACAATTGAAGGGTGAGAAGGATGGAGAAGAGTTTTATTAAGCAATTTAACAGCTCTCAGCAGAGAAGGGGCATGAGGTTCCCCACCCAAAGTTGAATGGTCTCTTTTTCCCAGTATGGCTGGGTCTAGGAGTTTTATGGGTTCAGAATGGGGGAGTGCATGCCGATTGGTTTCTGAGTATGCGAAAGAGGCTAAAACAAAGGCAGCATTCAAAGATGGGCATGACAGTATATTAAAAAAAAACAGTTGGGAAGGGTAGGTATATGTAAAAGAGGTGAAAGGTGAGGATCAAGCAGAGGAAAGCACACCAAAGGGGAGGAGAGGTCTTCAACCCCATCCATGGATTTAACTTGTAGCTTGGCTTTCAGGCTTTAAACTGTCTTTGTCCTGAAGGTCAGGTTTCACCAAGGACTCGCCCCTGTCTACCTAGGGATTTGTCAGGCTCCTGCCACTATCAGTAAGAGGTTGTTTCAAGTATATTTAGGAGGTAGAATAGAAATAAATTGATAATTGACTGGATGTGGGGCTGAGTGAGAGGAAAGTGTCAAAAATGCCTCCCAGGCATTCAGATGTGAATAAATGAGGATGTTCATATGGGGAGCAAATTTGGAGAAGAATATAGAGTTAAGTTTTAGATATGTTAAGTTTGAACTATCAAGGAAAGATACTGGGAAAGTATTTAGATATACCAGTCTAAAAATCAAAAGAGGGATTGTGGCCAGGCACTGTGGCTCACGCCTGCAATCCCAGCACTTGGGCAGACCATGAGGTCAGGAGTTTGAGACCAGCCTGGCCAACATGGGGAAGTTTCGTCTCTACTAAAAATACACAATTATCCAGATGTTGTGTCGCATGCCTGTAATCCCAACTACTGATGAGGCTGAGGCCAGAGAATCTTTTGAACCCAGGAGGTGGAGGTTGCAGTGAGCCAAGATCATACTGCTACACTCCAGCCAAGGGGGCAGAGTGAGTCTTTGTCTCAAAAAAAAAAAAAAAAAAAAAAAAAAAAAAAAAAGAAGGATTGTGTACTAAGCGTCTACATTTCTTTAGAGAACCTTTCTTAATATTTCATCTAAACTATAGCCCTGTCATACTGTTTCTCAGCACCCTGTGCTTTTCCCATACACCTCTTATCACCATTTGTAACTGCTTTTGGGCTGTTTTTTGTTTAATGTCAGTTACGTTCATTCCATTTGAGTGCCATGAAGGTAAAGGCTTTATTTGTTGACATCTGTGTAGCCAGCACTTTGAAAAGTGACTGGCACATACTAAGTGCTCATTGCATTTCTGAATATTTATATAAGACTCAATAACCTATTCATTAGATATCTATTTATTAGGTTCAATTATAGAGCCTTATATCTGATTGTAGAATTTGTTCATGGTGTTTGGAATTAGACCTCTTAGATCAAACTGATTCTAATTCTCTCACTTACTCTTTGTAATTTTGGGTAAGTTATTAATCTGAGTGTTTGTTTACCTTTTTGCAAAATGAAGAGAAAGAGGCTGGCACAGTGGCTTATGCCTGTAATCCCAGCACTTTGGGAGGCCAAGGCAGGAGGATTGCTTGAGCTCAGGAGTTCAAGATCAGCCTGGGAAGAGACTGTGTCTCTACTAAAATTCAGAAAAATTAGCTGGGGCATAGTGGTGCATGCGTATAGTCCCAACCACTCCAGAGGCTGAGACAGGAAGATTGCTCGAGCCCAGGAGATCAAGGCTGCAGTGACTACGCCACTGTACTCCAGCCTAGGCAACAAAGCAAGACTCTCTCAATAAAAAAGAGGAGCTGAGGAGAGGATCATACTCATGTTCATGTTAGAGAGTGATTTTAAAGGTAAATGCTAAATATATATTAATATATATGACTGATGATTGGCTTTTTAAATTTTTTTTATTTTTTATAGAGACAGAGTTTCTCTTTTTTTAAAAAAAAAATAAAGACGAGGATTCACCATGTTGGTCAGGCTGGTCTTGAACTCCTGACCTCAGGTGATCCACCTGCCTTGGCCTCCAAAGTGCTTGGATTACAGGCGTGAGCCACCACGCCTGGCCTGAGACAGAGTTTCACTATCTTGGCCAGGCTGGTCTTGAGCTTCTGACCTTGTGATCCACCTGCCTCGGCCTCCCAAAGTGCTGGGATTACAGGTGTGAGCCACCACGCCCAGCCTGATGATTGGCTTTTAACACAGTTACTGGAATACAGTAAATGCTCAAAATCAATGGCTTTTTACATTCGTAATAATAGATTATTGCTTATTTTTACTTAGTTTGTCTTCACATAAGATTCACACACAAGGCCAGGTGCAGCGGTTCACACCTGTAATCCCAGCACTTTGGGAGGCTGAGACGAGTGGATCACCTGAGGTAAGGAGTTCAAGACCAGCCTGACCAACATGGTGAAACCCCATCTCTACTAAAAAATACAAAAAAAATAAAACAAATTTGATGGGTGTGGTGGTAGGCACCTGTAATCCCAGCTACTTGGGAGGCTGAGGCAGGAGAATCGATTGAACTTGGGAGGCAGAGGTTGCAGTGAGCCCAGATTGCTCCATTGCACCGCAGCCCAGGTAACAAGAGCAAAACTTTGTCTCAAAAAAAAAAAAATTGTACACAAAATCAAACTGAAACTCATCATATTCTTTCATAATCCAGTTCTTGATCCCCACTTTGTGTCTGTCAGAAACAAGAGGATTCTCTCAATCATCCTGTGTGGAAATCCTCTTTTTTTCACCAACTTCCCCTCCCCCATTATCTGTTAAATCACAACGATTTTGATTTTTTTCTTTCAGATACTTTTTTTTTTTTTTTTTTTTTTTGAGACAGAGTCTCGCTGTGTTGCTAGGATGGAGTGCAGTGGAGTATAATGTTGGCTCATTGCAACCTCCACCTCCTGGGTTCAAGTGATCTCGTGCCTCAGCCTCCCGAGTAGTGGAGACTACAGGCGAGCACCACTTTGCCCCGCTAATTTTTGTACTTTACCAACGAGATTTCACCATGTTGGCCAGGCTGGTCTTGAACTCCCAACCTCAGATGATCTGTCCACTTCGGCTTCCCAAAGTGCTAGGATTACAAGCATGAGCCACTGTGCCTAGCCTTGAGATACTTCTTATATCCTGTCTTTTCCTTTCTGTGTTACCCCTCTTTCTAGGAATGCTCCCCATTCCTTCTATACCCATTTTGCACTCTCCCTATTCTTCAGAGTCCAGGCCAGATTCATTCCTTGAGGCCTTGTCTTAGTATTCCAGTTTACTACATCAAACACTTTTTTTTTTTTTAGACAGAGTCTTGCTCTGTTGTCCAGGCTGGAGTGCAGTGGTGTGATCTCAGCTCACTGCAACCTCCACCTCCCGGGTTCAAGCAATTCTCCTGTCTCAGCCTCCCAAGTAGCTGGGACTACAGGTGTGCACCACCACACCCCACTAATTTTTGTATTTTTAGTAGAGAGGGGGTTTCACTGTATTGGTCAGGCTGGTCTTGAACTCCTAACCTCAGGTGATTCACACACTTTAGCCTCCCAAAGTGCTGGGATTACAGGTGTGAGCCACTGCACCCAGCCCCTGTATCAAACAATTTCTTATCTACTTGTCTACACATCATTTTTTCCTCTGTTAGATTAAAAGCAGCATTAGAACAGGCACAATGAATTATGTTTCTTCTGCCATTTCTTATAATGTCTCAGTTAATTTTGTGTCTAGACTATGAATTGATCAATTCATTTGTTGGTAGATAGTCCACAGCTTGTTAATTTTTACGACTAATGCTTATCTTTGTTGAACAAAGAATACAAATAGAACTTTTTACTAGCAAAAGTCATAAAGACATGAGAGAACGCTAATGTGCAAAGTTGGATGTTAAAGATTGTCAAATACATCTGTTTAAGGCAGTTTATGCAGCTCAATCCTAGTTCTTATATCTTTTAGGTGGATATTTGCAAAGCAAGGGTTTTGTTCTTATTTTTCCACTTGTTTTTATTTTTGCCTTTTGTTAAACAATTATAACTGTTTCCTCAACATGGCAGATTTCATGTTTGAGGTTTAACTTCCGTAGCTTGGGCAAAATGAAGCAGAGTGGGTCGGCCACCTTACCACAGCTGTACAAAGCTTCCTTTAGTACAAGATCTTATCAGAGTTTCTAATGAAACATTTAGTCGAATGTGTTATGTTAGCAACAGATCCCTCATGGTTAGGATCTCTGAATGTATATCTGAAAGAACAAGGGCTCTTTATTCTGCATTGATAAAGATGAACTGCAGGAGCTGTCTTTTATGTTTGCTCTTAATGGCACCACTAAGTATACTGTGTATTGTGAATTCATGTCATATTATTGGGTGTGCTATAAAACCATGCTATTTATATCTTTCCCTAAGGCACAGTGTTTCATTTAACTTATTATGGCCACCTCTAAAATTTATCCATTTATTCTTCTTATCTCTCCATTTCTTTTTTCTGTCTTTTTCCATCTTAAATTGTTTCTTCTTTCCTCCCTCTTGTGCTCTTTTTCTTCACCCATTTTTTTCCCCTCACTTCCTTCTTTCTAAAACCTGTTTATGTAATGGCATGCAAAAGAAGTAAATCTGAGTTACTACACATCTATCTACTTTTAAAATTGTATATGCTTTTAAGAAAAACCAAATTCAAGAACTTAACAGTTGGGTCTTCTAAGTGTTGGAGAAATTGAAAATAGTATTATTCTGGATAATGCCTTAACTTTTGGTGATGCTGGTGTCATGAATGCATCTATTTAGTCAATTGATCTCACAATACGACCTTATTTGAAAGTTACAAGACTGGATTGCATAAGCTTTCATTGAGCCCCCTTTTTAAACAGTGAGTTTATTTTGAATTTGTTTTTATATAGGTTTGCCTCAGTGAAATGAGGGCACATATTCGGACTTGTCAGAAGTACATAGATATGTATGGACCACTGCAAGAGCTTGGGGAGACAGCAGCAAGGTTTGTTTGAATACAATATAGATTAATGCCAAAATTGATATATTTATAAATAATTTAATGAGCTAGAAACTTTAACATTCTTATTATGAAAATATTTACATATTTGTTTAGGTTCTTAACGGTAATATCTGGTACTGATTATCATTTTTTGATAGCAATCATTGTCAAAGAATTTTGCACTCTCTACTCTAAAAATTTCTTGAGGGAAACCAACCACACGTTGGAGAGATTGGGGCAACTTCCTCAAAAAGTTTGTGTTAACACAGGTCCAGAAATAGAATGCAGAACTGTTACATTTCTGCTAGTCTTTGTTTTCTGATAGATTCCTGAAGTAGGTCTTGTTTGAGATGATCCATCTTCTGTGACCACTGCTCATTTCACCAGCTCATTCCTTATCATTTTGCTTGTTTCTCTTTAGAAGATAGACAGCAGCATCTTAGTATATAAGAGGAAAACAGGCTGGGTAGACATCCTGAATTCTTTGCCTTTTTGATGAGTAATCTTGTATGGGGGTGGGGGTAGGGGAAGGATGTAGGTAGCTGGAAAACTTAATAGAGGATATTGATCATTAACTATTTTATTCTTAAAAAAAAAAAAGGAAAAAAAAAAAAAAACACTGGCAGGGCACAGTGGCTCACATCTGTAATTCCAGCACTTTGGGAGGCTGAGGCAGGCAGATCACTTGAGGTCAGGAGTTTGAGACCAGGCTGGGCAACATGGCAAAGCCCCATCCCTATTAAAAATACAAAACATAGCTGGGCGTGGTGAGGCACACCTGTAATTCCAGCTATTCCAGAGGCTGAGGCACATGACTTCCTTGATCCAGGGAGGCAGAGGCTACAGTGAGCTGAGATCTGGCCGCTGTACTCCAGACTGGGTGGCAGAGCAAGACTCTGTCTCAAAAAAGAAAAAAAGAAAGAGAGAGAGAGAGAGAGAGAGAGAGAGAGAGAAGGAAGGAAGGAAGGAAGGAAGGAAGGAAGGAAGGAAGGAAGGAAGGAAGGAAAAAGAAAAAGAAGAAAAGAAAGAAAGAAAGGAAGGAAGAAAGGAAGAAAGAAAGAAATCTAGGTCATTACTCTCTTGATGAGAAAAGTAATTTAGCTGCATCAGAGTAATTCTAAAGTTTGTAATCTGCCCCTATTAACCAAATAAAGTGATTTGTGCTCTCTAGCATAGGTTGATGTCCTTCCAGCCATTAATCTGCCTTAATCTGTATTAATCCGTAATTCATGCATCCAATACTGGGATTCAGTTTGGGTATAATCTCTCACTCTCAAAGAAAAATGTTAGCTCTGCTCATTTTTAGAAAATATACTCAAAATATAGCTTACATTTCTAAACCTAAAAGTCTAAACAATCACCCTATTCCTTTTGCTTTACTAGAGAATGCCTTGCAAAAGTGCCTGTTATTCTAAGATTAGCTTTATACCCTGATATTATAAATTTTAAATGAGTATTTTAGCTATAAACAGTGTATGAATCCTGTTATATTGACCACAATGACTAATAGGAAGGAAGGATTACAAATAGGTTGAGAAAGTGTATGGGTTTGATTGCAAGGCTGACAGCTCTTATGAAAATTTAAAAATATGTGAAAGCTAATTTGAATCCTAATTTCTTCTACTGATTGGAATTAAATAGTAAATAATTAAAATAATAGAAAATGGGGAGGGTTATTGATTAATCAGTTTTATGAGATAAATTAGTATTTGCATTTCTGATAAAAATATTTGCTTTACAGAAGAATTTACCACATAATTCAAATTTTAAAAATTCTTACACATGGAGCTTGTCCAGAGAACAAGTTCTGGGGGACAGTAAGCTACATCTGTAACAGAAAGTGAGCAAACAACTCCAGGACTCCGTATTGTCCCTAAGAACTTAAGGCAGTATTGTCCAATAGAAATCTAATGTTAATCACATGTAATTATAAATTTTCTAGTAGCGACATTTAAAAAAATAAGAAAATAAAATTTAAATTACCTTTCAGTATATTTCATCCAACCTAATATTGCCAGAATATTATCATTTGGACATGTAATTGGTATAAAAATTATTAAGCTATTTTACATTTTTTTTCTCTTTACACTAAACACTCAAAATTCAATGTGTATATTATACATCCAGTGTATCCATTTTTTTTGTTTGTTTGTTTTTTGAGACAGAATTTCACTCTTGTTGCCCAGGCTGGAGTGCAATGGTACGCTTCCAGCTCACTACAACCTCCACCTCCCAGGTTCAAGTGATTCTCCTGCCTCAGCATCCTGAGTAGCTGGGATTACAGGCACCTGCCACCATGCCCGGCTAATTTTGTATTTTTTTTTTTTTTTTTTTTTTTTTTGAGGCAGAGTTTCACTCTTGTTACCCAGGCTGGAGTGCAATGGCGCGATCTCGGCTCACCGCAACCTCCGCCTCCCGGGTTCCGGCAATTCTCCTGCCTCAGCCTCCTGAGTAGCTGGGATTACAGGCATACGTCACCATGCCCAGCTAATTTTTTGTATTTTTAGTAGAGACGGGGTTTCACCATGTTGACCAGGATGGTCTCGATCTCTTGACCTTGTGATCCACCCGCCTCGGCCTCCCAAAGTGCTGGGATTACAGGCTTGAGCCACCGCGCCCGGCCTAATTTTGTATTTTTAGTAGAGAAGGGATTTCACCATGTTGGCCAGGCTGGTCTCAAACGCCTGACCTCAGGTGATCCACCCACCTCAGCTTCCCAAAGTGCTGGGATTACAGGCATGGGCCACTGCACCTGTCCGTATATCTGAATTTGGACTAGCCACATTTCAAGTGCCCAGTGGACACATCTTGGACAGCACAGATAAGGGACAAATATTCCTAAGTGTACATAAGGATTTAACAAAGTAGCTGCAGGTCACTTTTCTTTTTCTTTTCTTTTCTTTTTTTTTTTATCCTGAGAGGGTGTCTTGCTCTGCCACCCAGGCTGGATTGCAATGGTGCAATCTCAGCTCACTGTGACCTCCACTTCCTGGGCTCAAGTGATCCTCTTGTTTCAGCCTCCCGAGTAGCTCAGACCACAGGCGTGTGCTGCCACGCTAATTTTTTGTACTTTTAATAGAGGTTTCACCATGTTGCCCAGGCTGGTCTCAAACTCCTGAGCTCGAGCAATCTGCCCACCTTGGCCTCCCAAAGTTCCGAGATTATGGCCTTCACCTATCTTGCCCAGACTGCAGGTCACTTTTCATTCTTCACTGGAAACTAACAATATAGGTTGACGCATGTGGTTATATGCTAGTGAAGTTGGAAAACAAATAACACCCCATCTAAATGTTATGTGAATTTGGAAAGGGAAGAAGAAAAAGGTAATCTAAAGACAATTGTGTGCTGCAATCCTCAGTTTCTCAGTTAATGCATGCTCAGATTGCACTTCTCTCCCAAAGAGAATAATTTGTTTCATGTGTACTGTCATGTTTTTCTGCCCTGTCCCTGTGAGGACACATATTTACATTTCTCATGAGAAAAAAATGTAGGCACCAACAGTGTTATTAGGTTAGGAAAAACACTGTCAAATCAGATAAACAAATAGGTCTAGAGACTATATCCCCCCCCCTACATTCTGTTTTTTAATCTTTAGTTAAGTGAATACTATGGGCTGGATGTGGTGGCTCATGCCTATAATCCCAGCACTTTGGGAGGCTAAGGTGGGTGGATCTCCCGAGGCCAGGAATTCCAGACTAGCCTGGCCAACATGGCGAAATCCTGTCTCTACTAAAAATACAAAGATTAGCCTGGTGTGGTGGTGAGGGCCTGTAATCCTAGCTACTTGGGAGGCTGAGGCAGGAGGATTCCTTGAACTTGGGAGGTTGAGGTTGCAGTGAGCCAAAATTGCACCACTACACTCCAGCCTGCACCACTACACTCCAGCCTGCGCCCCAGAGCAAGACAATGTCTCAAGAAAAATAAAAAAGAAAAAAAAAAAGTGACTACTATCTAGTGGCCAACCATTTTAGTAATATTTGTATTCTGTTATTTCCAGGTGTGTATGTCCCTTTTGTCAGAGGGAACTGGATGAAGACAGCTTGCTGGATCATTGTATTACTCATCACAGATCTGAACGAAGGCCTGTGGTAAGGATTTTTGTTACATGCGTTACAGCAATGTCTGAATCCCGGACACATTAGAAAAGCCATTTAATAGATTTTTATTTATAGATACATTATAAGGATAATAATTTATGTTAAGGTTATGGTAACTCTGTGACTGTTTACAGTATGTGAAAGTGTTGAGTTGTGCGGGGGGTGGTGGCTCATGCCTGTAATCCCAGCACTTTGGGAAGCTGAGGCAGGTGCATCATGGGGTCAGGAGATCGAGACCATTCTGCCTAACACAGTAAAACCTGGTCTCTACTAAAAATACCAAAAATTAGCCGGATGTGGTGGCACATGCCTGTAGTCCCAGCTACTAGGGAGGCTGAGGCAGGAGAATCACTTGAACCTGGGAGGTGGAGGTTGCAGTGAGCCGAGATCGCACCACCACACTCCAGCCTGGGCAACGGAGCACAGCAAAACTCTGTCTCAAAAATAAAGAAAAAAAAAGTGTTGTTGAAACTGATAAAAATGACTAATGTGCAATCACTCATTTATGAAGTTACACATTATCTCTAACAGGTAATCATGGGCATAATCAACCAAAATGATCCAGAATGCACAGTTAAGATGTAAGTTTACCAGCCTGGGCAGTATGGTGAAACCCCATGTCTACTAAAAATACAAAAATTAGCTGGGTGCATTGGTGGGCGCCTGTAATCCCAGCTACTAGGGACTGAGGTGGAATAATTGCTTGAACCTGGGAGGCGGAGGTTGCAGTGAGCCAAGATGGCACCACTGCACTCCAGCCTGTAAAACAGAGCAAGACCCTGTCTCAAAAAAAGATCTAAGTTTAGTACACTAACTATGGTTACAGCCTAAGTTTCAGACATTTTAAAATAATGCAAATAGTGTTATTATGACAATATACTGGAATCAAAAAGTAGTCATTCATCTTCATTAATGTGTTGTTTTATTGATAGTTAATATTTATCCATATGTTTGCATAGTAAATGTACATATTGCTCATCATTTCCTAGATTCATTGTGAATGCTGCTTTTTTCTTTTCAGCGTGGCATTTTAGTTCTTCCTTGCAGAGTGGCTTTTATAATTTTCATTTTGGTATAGTTGTGAGGTAAGGCAAAGTGGATACATTATCGTTTACTTAAGCTATTTATTTTACTTTTATTTATTTTTTATTATTTTTATTTTTTATTTTTATTTATTTAATTTTGAGATGGAGTTTCATTCTTGTTGCCCAGGCTAGAGTGCAATGGCACGATCTCAGCTCACTGCAACCTCCTCCTCTTAGGTTCAAGCAATTCTCCTTCCTCAGCCTCCTCAATAGCTGGGATTATAGTTGGGTGCCAACACATCCAGCTAATTTTTTGTATTTTTAGTAAAGAAGGGGTTTCATCATGTTGGCCAGGCTGGTCTCGAACTCCTGACCTCAGGTGATCCACCCCTCTTGGCCTCTCAAAGTGCAGGGATTATAGGCATGAGCCACTGTGCTTGGCTGGAGATTTTTTTTTTTTTTTTTTTTTTTTTTAAAGATGGGGTTTCACCATGATGGCCAGGCTGGTCTTGAACTCCTGACCTCAGGTGATCCACCCACCTCAGCCTCCCAAAGTGCTAGGATTACAGGCATGAGCCACCGCGCCTGGCTGGAGATTTTTTAATACCTCTTGAAATGTACTTTTAAAGTGCTTTCCAAAAAGTTCTGAGTCAATTTATATTTGGTTTACTCTGTGAGTAAACCACTTTTACCTTAATCTGACCATAATTGGGAACATTTATTTTTAACTTACCTTGGGTCAACAAATATAAAATGATACTTTGAAGATTATTTTATGTGATATGTAGTTTTATGTACTATATACACAAATGTGTGTGTGTGTGTTTTTTTTATATGAGTTTTTAGGGGTTTTTTAGTTTTAGGGTTTTTTTCCATAAAATCCTTTCAGAAAGTGGATGAGATTGAAATATAAGTATATTAGACAGGTAGATAGATAGATAAGAGATAGATGATAGAGAATAAAGAGATGGAAAGATGAATACAGCCGGATGCGGTGGCCCACACCTGTAATCCAGCACTTTGGGAGGACAAGGTGGAACGATTTCTTGAGGCCAGGAGTTTGAGACCTACCTGGCCAACATGGTGAAACCCCATCTCTACTACTAAAAATACAAAAATTAGAAAGCCATGGTTGCATGCACCTTCAGTCCCAGCTACTTGGGAGGCTGAGGTGGGAGGATTGCTTGAGCTTGAGGGGACAGAGGTTACAGGGAACCAAGATTGTGCCACTGTACTCCAGCCTGGGCGACAGAACAAGAACCTGTGTCAAGCCAGGCACAGTGGCTCACACCTGTAATCCCAGCACTTTGGGAGGACAAGGCGGGTGGATCACCTGAGGTCAGGAGTTCGAGACCAGCCTGACCAACATGGTGAAACCCCCATCTCTACTAAATATACAAAAAAAATGTTAGCTGAGCATGGTGAGGGGGCACATGTAATCCCAGCTACTTGGGAGACTGAGGCAGGAGAATCACTTGAACCTGGGAGGCGGCAGTTGCAGTGAGCTGAGATTGCGCCATTGCTCTCTAGCCTGGTCAATAAGAGCAAAAGTCCATCTCAAAAAAAAAAAAGGTAGAGACACAGGAAATCCTCTCACAGCAATTCTATGAGATAGGCTTGATGATTATCCCCATTTTAAAAATGATATACAGGCTCAGAGAGGTTAAGTCTGTCATACAAGATCATACAGCTGGTAAGTAACAAAGACAGAATTTGAATACAGTAATCTAGCTCCAGGGTGTGTGGGAAACCCCTGTGGTCTATAGCAAGTTCAAGAGAAAAGCATGGAGAGAGCATTGTTACTGTTCCTAATGGCCTAGGGATTTGGCAATTGAAATGGTACGTAGGAGCTTGTTAGGTGTTGAAGGAGCAGAGGAGATGCTCATGGGCCTTTCCTGCTCAAGTTGCTCTGTAGGAGGAACTGGGCTAAAGAGTTGCTTCACAATAGGACCCTAGGGAGCTAGAGGAAGTTAGAAGAAAGCATAAGGATGGAATGATAGTGACTATCACTGAGTTTACTGAGTTCTAAGTACTTTGTCTTCTAGCAACTCTATGAAGAAGGTTGAACCCTGACCATTAGTACGTAAGGTGCTGCTCTGGCTGGAAGAATGCCAGGCACTCTGGACTGTGGTCTTAGGCTGCTTCTAAGCAGCAATCTGGGGTAGGCCACATACTGGTCAGTTCTGTGGTACTGTGTACCTGCTCCAGTAGAAATGCAGTCCACGTGCTGCTCAGTTTGGTCCAAATTGAAAGTGGCCCAGGAAGCTAGGTCCTTCATGATTTTATAGGTCTTCAAGGTCATTGAACACAGCTGACCTAAGCAGAGAAACAATTTGGGAATGGTGGGATCGATTGCCTATGGAATTTTGTAGTTAAATCCTAGTCTTTAAAGGGGATAGGCTAAGACAACATACATAAGCAATTTAAAAAATAAATAAAAAATAAAGGGGATAGACTTGGTTCTAATCCCAGGAAGTCTACTAAATTCTCTGCCACTGTTTCATCATTTGTAAAATGGGGATAGTGATGACATTCATGCCTTTTTTATAGGTAGTAAATGAGTTAGGCATAGAATAAAGTAAGCATTCTGTTACCTGGTGGTCACTCCATAAATAGAAGAGGGTGGTGGTGATAGTGGAGGCTCACTACACTTTTTCAATTCTGTAAAATTAGGCCTAGAGAAGATTTCTCAGAGGAAGTGATGTACTCTCACAGTTAGAGAACGCACGTGGGTTGGTGGTGTGAGTCCGAGGGTAGTGGGGAGAAGGAGGATGGGGAAGTAAAGTGATTTTCACCACAAAGACCAGGATGCTGTCATGGATTTGAAACAGGAGCAGGTTGTTCAGAAATCCAAGGTCCTGTAACAACCTAGGGCTACAGGTAGTAACTGGAACAGAAGACCTTCAGGTGTCCTGTGTTAGTGTTTCACTCTTGAGCAGAAGCTCAAGACCATGTCATTCTGAAGGACCTAGAGCCACTAGAAGTCATGATTTACCCCATGGTTAAGAAAAGGCAGGGACAGATATGTGGTATGGGCAAGGAGGGCTGAGTCAAATGCTGTTTCTGGATGGGTGTTGAAGTTAACCAGGAATTACTGCTTTAAAGGACTGGATTATTGGTTTTGCAAGCAGATAAGATCAGTGACTTACTCACGTAAGAGGTTTTCTGGCAGTTAGAGATTTGGGCAAATGATTCTTCTCACTTCCAAAAATAATTAGATAGTTCAGAGATCGAACCACAAGATAACCAATCTTTTCTTTATGAGCTGTTCAAGAATGACATAGCTGTTAAAAACATCAGGGGATTTTGACTTTTCTTATATGCAGCCTTAAGAGCCAGTAGCTCCTTTTTGTCGGGCAGTAACTATATTGTTATATTGTGCCATTTTTAAATATTTGGAGACAGGGTCTCACTCTGTCACCCAGGCCGGACTGCACTGGTGCAGTAATAGCTCACTGTAACCTTGAACTCCTGAGGTCAAGTGATCCTCATCTCAGCCTCCCAAGTAGCTGAGACTACAGGTATGCACCACCACACCAGGATAATTTTTTTTTTTTTTTTTTTTTTTTTTTTTTTGGTAGAGATAAGATCTCACTATGTTGCCGAGGCTGATCTCAAATTTCTGGCTTCAAGCGATCCTCCTACCTCGGCTTCTGAAAGCATTGAGCATGAAAAATGGCCACTAAGCTCAGTCATTTTTTAAAAAAATAATTCTATTTCTGGAATATTAGACTCAAAGGAGGCAGATGACACAAACAGCATGCTTCAGATTGAATTATGAGACCACTTTTTTCTTTTTACTTAAATGTAGATAAATAATATTAATGAGACCCCTTTGGAGAGAAATGTGGTATTTTATTCTGTAAAGGGAAGATGTTTTAGCAAGAACCATGCTCTCCAGCTATTCTCTCTGTCCAGAGTGCTTTTTCTTTTTGAAGAGACGATGGGGTTTTGCCATCATGTTGT